ATGAGCGCGGCCGGGCTCCCGCCTCGCCGGGGCGGGCCGGGCCGGGCCGGGCAAGTTTCCCCGGAGTCTCTGCTGCCATGAGTCCGCCCGGCTGGGCGGCGCCGAGGGAGCATGCCCGAGGAAGCGGCGGGGGAGAGGCGGGGGGGGCACCCCCAGCCGGGTCTCCGGGCCTGGAGAAACTGAGGCACTTCAGGACGTACAAGCGGCGGTGGTTCCTCCTGGTCGTCGTCTGCCTGCTCAATTGCTCCAACGCCACGGTGAGTGCGGGTCTGGGCTCTCCGACTTGGGATGAGCTTGGGCTCAGTTGGCCTCGGATACCAATTAAATGAAGGATAACAAAACACAACGACCACGGAGGTCTGATCTCAGCAGCAGCCTAGGGGGGCCGGCCGCGCCGGGTTTCTTGCGGCGTTTCCGTGTGTACACGCGCTCAGGCAGCGAGGGGTTTCCGTGTGTATGTATGTGTGTGTGTGTGTGTGTGCACGCGCTCAGGCAGCGAGGGGTTTCCGTGTGTATGTGTGTGTGTGTGTGTGTGTGTGTGCACGCGCTCAGGCAGCGAGGGGGGTTCAGCTGCTTTTGAGGGACGGGGCTCGAGTTGGTTCCGTATTCCCGGGGCTTTAGTCCTTATTTCCGGTCCCTTTTTCAAAGCTCCCTTTCCCAATAAAAGCTCGTTAGTAGTGAATGATGCATCCAGAAGAGAGAGAGTTTCATTCGCTGTGCAGATTTGCTAATGAATGTGTATGATAATATCCCGCATCAAGTGCAGAGCCGTAAATTTCATAGATTTCATAGACATTTGGGCTGGAAGGGACCTCGGAGGGTCGAGTCCAGCCTCCTGCCAAAGGGGCAGGAAGTCATCAGGGGTCATAGGATCCCACCAAGATAGACGTCCCAATGTCTCTTTAAGGTGTTCGAAGTGGGTGCTTGCACCACCTCCAATGGCAGGCTATTCCAAACCTTGGGGGCTCGGACAGTAAAGAAGTTCTTCCTTATGTCCAGCCCGAAATGGTCATGGAGGAGTTTGTGACCGTTCGACCTTGTCATCCCTTGGGGCGCTCTGGTGAGCAGATGTTCCCCCAGATCCTAGTGAGCACCCCTGATAAATTTATAGGTGGCGGTCAGATGAGGGTGGGAGTATGGGGCAAAATGCTTCTTGGGCCACCCCAAACTTCCTCTCAATGCCACCGGGGGACTGTCCCGAAGACCACTGACCACAGTCCTGCCTGGCCAAAAACATGGTTTGGTCCTGCCAGGCTGCCAACTGACAGCTCCCCCCCATGCCCACTGCACTAAGTATAATGGATGGAATAAGGAATTGGCTTTTGGGCTGGGATTATGGCTGGAAATCCTTCTTGGGCCACCCCACAGCATACCTCTTTTCCACCAGGGGACTCTTCTGGACATGTTTGACCGGAGTCTTGCCTGTCCCAAAGTGCAGTTTGGCCCTGACAGGCTGCCAGCTGACAGCAACCCCCCGCACTGCATTAAGTACATGGGCTCAGTATAGAACTGGCTTTTGAGCTGGGATTATGGCAGGAAATCCTTCTTGGGTCACCCACAACATGCCTCTGTAGCACTAGGGGACTCTTCTGACCAGAGTATTGCCTGGCCCAAAGCACAGTTTGGCATTGTCAGGCTGCAAGCTGGCAGCTACCCAGCTACTTTAGTAAGTATATAGGCCCGAATAAGGAATTGGCTTTTGGGCTGGGATTATGAGTGGAAATCCTGTTTGGACCACCCCATACCATGCCTCTGTGGCACTGGGGGACTCTCCTGGACATCTTTGACCAGAATCTTGCCTGGCCTAAAGTGTGTTTTGGCCATGCCAGGCTCCAATTTAATCTCTACCCCCGTGTGCTATTTACATTGCTACCAATAAGGAGCTGCCCTTCTGCTGGGATCATGGGGCAAGACCGTTTTAGAATCATCCCAAAACACATCACCACTACCAAGGGAGCCTCCTGAAAACATTGGGGTATGTTCCTGCTCAACCTAATGCTCAGTTTTTGAGTGTGAGCCTGCCAGGTGACACCCAACTTTAAGACCTCTATGTTGCTATTCCATCAGGCACTGGACAGCAGGAAGAATGGCTGCATGCAAATGTAGCACGTATACACATGATGGACCTCTGCTTCTATGCATGGTGTTTAGCACGTGTTGCCATTCTGTTGGAGTGTGCTAATTAACATACCTCAGCAGCCTTCACACCAGGTGTATTCACTGTCTCTGGATTTCAAAACAGTGGTGGGGGTGCTTTAACTAAAGCTTGTAGAATAAGCTTTAGTTAAAGTGCCCCTGCCGCCTTGTTGAAGCATGGGATGCTGAATACACATGACACTACTGGTGCTTTAATTAGAGCAGCTCTCAGAGCTATTCTAATTAAAGCACCCCCCACCGCCACCCGGAAGCATGTGTATAGATGCCCCTAGGGCTTTTTCACCAGCTTTTCTCATTTACCTCCAATCACCACCCAGAAACTTGGTAAAGTAACTTTGAATTGGATGTTGTAATTTAAAGAAACCTGCCCACTCACTAGCAAATGTTAAATTAAAACAAGTTTATTATGAGGGAAAAGGGGAACAATGGTACTCCCTAACTAAAATCTTAACTATTAATCTTTAACTGTAGCAAACCAACCCAGGGAGCTACCTCTTAGCCCAGTCACTTGAAAAGGGAGTCTCACCCAGAGCTGCCATCCAGGGACTCCACCACCTGCACTGGTTTAGTAGTACATTTTGGGAAGGGAGGCTCTGTTGCTCCCCGCTGCCAGGGGCTCATTGACTTATAGAATCATAGAGAAGTAGGGCTGGTAGGGACCCCCAGAGGTCACCTAGTCTAACCCCCCGCCTGAGGCAGGATCATCCCTATCCAAACCGTCCCATCTATCCATACAGCATAGACCTAACAGCCAAACCTGCCACAAGTAAAGCAGGAAACTATGGCAGCCACTGTCCTGCTTTTATGAAATGTTATCAATATATGCTCCAGAGATTCCTGGATAGAGGCCACACCCCTGCTATAGAGGAAGGCAGAAACCCCCACAGTCGATATGCCAATCTGACCATGGGGTAAAAGTCCTTCCTGACCTGAAATATGATGATTGGTCTGACCCTGAGTAAAGGGCAAGACCCTCCAGCCAGGACCTTCTGGCTTTGCTCCTAGCAAGAGAATTGGCCTACCCCAGTTCAAGTCCGCAGCCTTAGCTGTAGCAGCACTCAGTGCCTCTGAAGAAGGCTTAAAAATACCCTCACACACACAGACCTAAATCGGCCTAAATCAGCCCTGACATAGCTGTCCAACCTCTTGTTGACACCTCCAGCGATGGAGAATCCACAACTTCCCTGGGCATCTATCCACTGCCTCATTATTCTCACAGTGAATTTTTTCTAGATATCCAATCTAAATTTACTTTGCTGTAGCTTTATGCCATTGGTTTGTATCCTCCTCTTTGCAAGAGTTGCGGCCCTTGTCCTGGGCTTCTACCACCAATGAGAACCCAAGTAGCAAGAGCTGGCAAGTGAGGGCCACACATGACTTACTATGACTGGATGCTGGAGAGCATTGCTGGGGTTTGATGCTAGGCAGTGCTGCTGTGAATGCTACCTCCAGGGATCTCCGTTGCTCTGCTGAAGGTCTCTGCCACTCCTCCACACTTCTGGGGGTCTCTGCTGCTCCTCCATGGTGCCAGGGGGTGTCCGTCGCTCTCCTGGGGGGGTCTCTGTTGCTCCAGTGGGGGTCTCTGCTGCTCCATGCCTCTGGGGGTCTCTGGCAGTCCTCCACATTTCTGGGGGGTCTCTCCATGGTGCCAGGGGGTCTCCACCACTATACACAACTATACACCACTGGGGGGGTCTCCAGCACTCTGCTGGGCGTCTCTTTTGCTCTGCTGGGGGGTCTCTGCTGCTCCTCCCCATCACCGGTGGTCTCTGTCATTCCACCACACCACTGGATATCCATCACTCCTCTGCCCTGCCAGGGTTTTATCCTTGTTCTCTTCAGGTTGCCATGGAACCACAGATTTGTTAGGTTCTGCCCTGTGTCAGTGATAGGCTCTGGGATTTTTTTTCAGCTGTTTTTACTATAGTGCTATAGTACTATAGTATCATGTAGACCCACTATAGAACACTGTATTCAGAAGCACTTTTAGCCTGAAGAGTTTGTTGAAAACATCCGGGGAGTGACTCCTGTCTGGAATCGACAGGTAGTTTGGGGTGTCCAAAGAAGTATTTTGCCCCATCCCATCCTAATCTGATCTTCATTTAGAGTTCTGTACTTGATGCAGGATATTAATTTACATAATAATAAATAATTATGCATAGCTAATGAAATTCTCTCTCTTTTAGAATGTGTAATTCATTAATAAGAAGCTTTTTCAGGTATAGATTAGCTTTGAAAAAGAAACTGGGAACCAGCAATAAGGAAATGGGAATAAGAAACCAACTTCAGCCTCATCTTTCACAGCAACATGACAGCAGCCAGCTTTTGACAAAACCAAAGACTGATTACAGTTCATGTCATTATGCTGCCTCTTTATTTTCTTTTTGCTGTTACTTCCCCCTGATTGGGAAATGTTGCCATTATTTGCAGGGGTGTGCAGAATAGTCTGGGCGCTTAATTCATGATTATTTGCAATGGAAAATACTGCAAATGTCAAGTCCACACTAGGAAAGATATGCCAGCACAGCTATACCACCAGCAAAGATTATGCTTATACAGTACTGGAATGTACTTAGACTCTTGTCAATATGACTTACACCAATTCCCTGAATGAACTGTATTAGGTGAAATAAAGTGTTCTAGCAACAGCACTTATTAGCGGCGAGGGAAGTCTGCAGTTTTCCCACACCTTTGTTGGGTAGCCACACTCTGGATGCTAGACTTAATTCACCTTCCTCAACAAAATAAAAAAAACCTTTTGCAATCAAACACTCCTGTCCACAGTGATTTGAAAATAGATGGCACCTTATTTCATAAAACTAAATTAATATTTAAAATGTAGATTCTTCCCTGTAGAGCAACTAACTTGGTTGTAATAACTGAACATGTTAGGAGACCCAAAATTGCCTGTTACTTGCACTTGGTTAAATTACATCCTTTCATCCTGAATTTGCATTCTTTTGCCTTCCTTTTCATTTTGTTCACATTTCCTTTCTGACCAGGAAGATGCAACATGCAATAACTGTGTATGCCATTCCAGGAGTTAAGCTTAAAAGCTAAGTAGTTAGGAGCAGACATCATAAGATCAAACTGGACTGGG